TCCTGTGGAAAGAAGGAAAGCCGGTAACCAGGAAGACAGACCAGAATCGGACTTCGTTTGTGCTCGGTGTGGGATGGACTGCCACTCCCGGATTGGCCTCATCAGTCACACCAGACGCTGCACCAGGATTGACAACTAGGGCGCAACTCCATAGTCTCCCGAGACTGAAGGATGCCTACTATAATAGTCCTGTGGGAACACTGCATTTGTTATGGTTTTCGTGAGCTTTGTTTCTGTGAGAGCTTTGTTATGTCTGGGTTTTCCTTTAGTACCCATTCTCCAAGTTCATTTGCTTTATTTGTAATACCATCTATATTAGTGTACATTGCCTTGAGGCTCACTTTCTTCTGTCCCTTCTCAAATCTCCTCCTTGGTGAGTGTTCTGCTGTCGGGGAAAGCTGTTCCACGGGTGTGAGGATTTGTGAGGTGGATAACAGAGTTGCAGAGGATATTGGAATGAAGGGTAGGGGGGTCAAGTGAAGGTGGGGAGGGACAGGGAGGGTATGGGGTGAAAGTGGAAGGAGGACAGGAAGGAAAGGGGGGAGGGGTAGAAGGGTGTGGGGGAGGGAGATTTGGCTGGGTATTTCAATGGAGGCAGGGAGGGTTTGGGGTAGGGAGGTTTTCTATGCAGAGGAGGGTGGTGGGGTTGCCCTCCCCACTGGTGTTACTGGGTAGCTGGTTGTGGGTTCCCCCCTTGCATCTGGGGGTGATGTGTTGGGAGCTGTGATTCCCTGGTTTTCCCCTCTCGCCCTGCGCTTCTTTCTTGCTTCTGCCGCCATGGCCCTCTCCTCCCTCGTCATGTCCCTCTGGAGGAATACTTTTTTGAATTCTCCCACATGTTGCAGGTGGCTTTTCTTTGTTAGAATCATCTCCTTTGTGTTCTCGTTTGCAAACACTATCTTTAACACACAGTCTCGGTCTTTGTTGTACCAGCCTAGCCTGAAAACCTTCTCAATGCTATGCTCAGCCCCTTCCATATCTAGTGCCTTCAGTATTTCATTCACTGCCGCTTTGTCCTTATCATTCCACTCTTTCCTATTAGAGCCTTCCTGCTCTTTAATACCCACAGCAACCACTGATCTTTTCCTTTCTAGCAGTTGGCTAGTGGAGTGTGCCACTTCCTGTGAGGTGGCTGCTTTCATGGCTACCTCCATCACTGCAGACATTACTTCAGAGTTTTTTTTTTTTTTGCATTTCTGCAAATGTTGCTTTTATTGTGGCATTCTCTTCCAAAGTACTATTACCACCTTCTCCCTGGGTGGTTATCTGAGTCTCAGCATCGATACTGTTCTCTTTAAGGGCTCTAATCTCCTCCTTTGCTGCTGTCAGCTCTCTTTTTAGGTTGCTTATTTCATTCTTCATTTCCTGCATCTCACTCACTGTGTGGACCCTACTGTGAGAGCGTCCTTTATGTGGATAAATTGAGCAGGTGTTCCTGTGTGGAACCTGTTAGGCGACTTCTCACACTCGAGTTGGGACTAAAAGAAGCATTTAGGGGCAGTCCAAGAGGATTGTTGCACTACGAGGAGCGACGCCATCTTGGAGCGCCAGTGGGCAAGTCTCATCTCGCGGTCTGTCTGCGGTAAGCACTCTTTATACTATAATATATTGCTTGTTGTCGTTTGATCGTGTACCCAGCGATCGTAGAAGACATTTGTGGATGTAGGTTAGAGAATTTATGAAAAAAGTGAGAAGATATAATGAGTTTGAGATGATTGGACATTGCGGAGGCAAGAGCAACGCATTCTCACATAGTCTCTGACGCCCGTTGGAGGAGGATCTCAGTGTGGACTTGTCCAGGTGTGGGGGAGTACCCTCTTCTGTGTGGACTTGTCCAGGTGTGGGGGAGTACCCTCTTCTGTGTGGACTTGTCCAGGTGTGGGGGAGTACCCTCTTCTGTGTGGACTTGTCCAGGTGTGGGGGAGTACCCTCCTCTGTGTGGACTCGTCCAGGTGTGGGGGAGTACCCTCCTCTGTGTGGACTCGTCCAGGTGTGGGGGAGTACCCTCCTCTGTGTGGACTTGTCCAGGTGTGGGGGTGTTGTAATCCACAAGTTAGTAGGAATTATTAGCTAGAGGATCATTACTACAACACTTAACGAATGATGATTGGAAGTACATGTTAAGTAGACAGACTATGGATCACATATCTAAGAAAAGTCAATGGATTAAGACCGAAGCTGTTTAGCCAAATTAATAATTCCTGGAAAGAGGAATTATTCTTCGTCAGGCTTCTAGGAACAAGATTACCGCTTCTAGGGATAAGGTTAATCGGATTATACCTTCCGTGAGAGGCCGGGTGAAATGGTGGAGGTAGATGGCTGACTGGAGCCAGTCTGATTGTGGGAGTTGAACTGAGAAGTCCTCTGGAGCTTCGTTTGCGGCAGCAGCGAAGTGTAGCAGACAGCTATGCGAGAACCTGAAGTGATCTTAGTGACCAAGTTAAGTCTGCAGTATGTGAGTATTGAATGAAAGACTAACCGGGTGTGGAGCGTTGTAGTAATCATTCCGTATTAGGGACTTAGGCGGAACTTACGAGTGTGGGTGGTGACCGCGGAGGTCAAGTGGTCTATGGGTATTGGAAGTGTATTGACCTAATAGAGTATGTTAATATGTTATTATTTGTCAGAGTCTATTCTTTGTAATTAAATGACAAAACCCGACGGCCTTTAAATACCTTCCATATGTTCACTCATTGTGTTCGAGTACAAACCTAGTGGTACGCCTCAAGGGTCTGGTGTGTGTAGGAGTACACGGTGGTAGTAACGGTTGCTGAGGCAAGGTGTTATGTGTTGTGTAATCGCTGTGTTCGGAATGAACCGGGGTTCAGCGTCACGACAGGGGAGTACCCTCCTCTGTGTGGATTCGTCCACGTGTGGGGAGTACCCTCCTCTGTGTGGAATTGTCCAGGTGTGGGGGAGTACCCTCCTCTGTGTGGACTCGTCCAGGTGTGGGGGAGTACCCTCCTCTGTGTGGACTTGTCCAGGTGTGGGGGAGTACCCTCCTCTGTGTGGACTCGTCCAGGTGTGGGGGAGTACCCTCCTCTGTGTGGACTTGTCCAGGTGTGGGGGAGTACCCTCCTCTGTGTGGACTCGTCCAGGTGTGGGGGAGTACCCTCCTCTGTGTGGACTTGTCCAGGTGTGGGGGAGTACCCTCCTCTGTGTGGACTCGTCCAGGTGTGGGGGAGTACCCTCCTCTGTGTGGACTTGTCCAGGTGTGGGGGAGTACCCTCCTCTGTGTGGACTCGTCCAGGTGTGGGGGAGTACCCTCCTCTGTGTGGACTTGTCCAGGTGTGGGGGAGTACCCTCCTCTGTGTGGACTTGTCCAGGTGTGGGGGAGTACCCTCCTATGTGTGAACTTGTCCAGGTGTGGGGGAGTTCCCTCCTCTGTGTGAACTTGTCCAGGTGTGGGGGAGTTCCCTCCTCTGTGTGAACTTGTCCAGGTGTGGGGGAGTTCCCTCCTCTGTGTGAACTTGTCCAGGTGTGGGGGAGTACCCTCCTCTGTGTGAACTTGTCCAGGTGTGGGGGAGTACCCTCCTCTGTGTGAACTTGTCCAGGTGTGGGGGAGTTCCCTCCTCTGTGTGAACTTGTCCAGGTGTGGGGGAGTACCCTCCTCTGTGTGAACTTGTCCAGGTGTGGGGGAGTTCCCTCCTCTGTGTGAACTTGTCCAGGTGTGGGGGAGTACCCTCCTCTGTGTGAACTTGTCCAGGTGTGGGGGAGTTCCCTCCTCTGTGTGAACTTGTCCAGGTGTGGGGGAGTTCCCTCCTCTGTGTGAACTTGTCCAGGTGTGGGGGAGTACCCTCCTCTGTGTGAACTTGTCCAGGTGTGGGGGAGTACCCTCCTCTGTGTGAACTTGTCCAGGTGTGGGGGAGTTCCCTCCTCTGTGTGGACTTGTCCAGGTGTGGGGGAGTACCCTCCTCTGTGTGGACTTGTCCAGGTGTGGGGGAGTACCCTCCTCTGTGTGAACTTGTCCAGGTGTGGGGGAGTTCCCTCCTCTGTGTGAACTTGTCCAGGTGTGGGGGAGTTCCCTCCTCTGTGTGAACTTGTCCAGGTGTGGGGGAGTACCCTCCTCTGTGTGAACTTGTCCAGGTGTGGGGGAGTACCCTCCTCTGTGTGAACTTGTCCAGGTGTGGGGGAGTACCCTCCTCTGTGTGAACTTGTCCAGGTGTGGGGGAGTACCCTCCTCTGTGTGAACTTGTCCAGGTGTGGGGGAGTTCCCTCCTCTGTGTGAACTTGTCCAGGTGTGGGGGAGTACCCTCCTCTGTGTGAACTTGTCCAGGTGTGGGGGAGTACCCTCCTCTGTGTGAACTTGTCCAGGTGTGGGGGAGTACCCTCCTCTGTGTGAACTTGTCCAGGTGTGGGGGAGTTCCCTCCTCTGTGTGAACTTGTCCAGGTGTGGGGGAGTACCCTCCTCTGTGTGAACTTGTCCAGGTGTGGGGGAGTACCCTCCTCTGTGTGAACTTGTCCAGGTGTGGGGGAGTTCCCTCCTCTGTGTGAACTTGTCCAGGTGTGGGGGAGTAACCTCCTAAGTAGGACTGGCGCAGAGTGGGACGTCAGATGGCCAGATTTAATGCTCACATATATATATTGGTCTTTATGTTTTGATAGAACATGTTGTTATGGTATGGTAATGGAATTATAAATTTGTGTATGGGGAGGTTCGTGGATGAGCTTCGTGTCTGGTGAAGGTTATATGGTGGAACTTCAGTGGTTGAGTGGAACTTCAGTGGTAGAGTGGAACTTCAGTGGTAGAGTGGAACTTCAGTGGTAGAGTTGAGCTTCAAGTGTAGTGGAACTACATGTTTATGGTGAAGCCGCATAGAGGAACGTCACATGTATTAAGTGGGACTTCAGATAGCAGCAAATATTGAAGAGACTGCAGGAGTACCTACCTGATTTGAGGACCCATAGACTGATGGTCTTAGTGAAGGCCTCAGGACGTAATAGAAAGTTATATGGACACCATTATTGTTTGAGCGAGTGTATGAACTCGTATATTATGAATGACGCAAAGTAAGGTGAGAACGGTTACTATTTTTTTGTTGGAGTTATTTGTAAATGCAAGTTACCGAGCGCCAAGCTACGAGGAGGCAGGAGGCTGCTGGTAGTAGCAGTAGCCGACTTGCTGGTAGTAGCAGTAGTAGCTCAGTAGTAAACTTGAGCAGTAGCCTAGTGCACTTTGTTTGGTCAAGAACTGATATTATATAAGTGTGATGCTAGTTTGATGAACCTGATGATATTATGCTGTCATATTACTTTATTCTTTGTATTTTGGTGTAATAAATGTTTGTCTGTAGACAACTGGTATTTGCTCTTGTCCTGGCAAGGATTTGTAGGAGGTGAGAGAGAGAAAGTGTTGTAGGTCGGGTGACAGAGGACAGTAATATCATGAAGGGGAATTGGAAGCTTATCCCAAAGCTGGGAGAGTGAAGGCAGATCACGGTGGCTCAGAGGTGTGTGTGATCATGACAAATACGCCAGAATTGAGCCTATTCCCCAAATAAGTTGACGTTGAGCCCTATCTCTATACATACTACGACTACAGGGAGACTCTCCAGAGTGCTCTCCAGACTCTCCATAGTCCATTGATTGATTGATGACAGTAGGAGTAAGTAAGTGCCAATAGTTATTATGTTATTTTATCAGGAGCGGGTCTCCGCTGATACAAAGATAGATACCCCCTCCCCCCTGATACTGCTCTCTAGAGAATATAGATTTAGGCATTTTAGTCGGTCCCAGTAATTTTGATGGTTTATTGAGTAAATTCTGACTGTGAAGGATCTCTGCACACTCTCCAGGTCAGCAATTTCTCCAGCTTTGTAAGAGGCTGTTATTGTGCAACAGTATTCCACCCTAGAGAACACTAGCGTCTTGAAAAGTGTCATCACTGGTACAGCATCTCTAGTGTGAAAGATTCTTGTTATCCAACCTGTCATTTTTCCTGTAGGTGGCTCAAGTAAATAGACAACACAGTAGCACATGTCAACATACAATCAGCTGATGAATGATGCGAGACAAGAGTAGTAGTAAATACATATCTTGTATTTCTGTCTTCCAGAGGTGTGGGACGAGTCTAGTGGGCAGTACTGCGACGTACAGCTGCTGGCCGCCCTGGCCGCTGATCCTACAGTCTCCTACGACGTCTTCTCCAGGAGTGCCAATGCGTCGTTCTTGGTGTTCCACCCGCGGCCTGCAGCCTACACCCACACCTGCCTCCACACCGACACTCTCGTCGTCCTGGTCTGGGTACTCGCCTCTATACTCAATGGTAATGTTGGTTCACTCTGGGGTTGAAATGGGGGTATATCGGTTTCTTTCCTTTATAGGGAATAATTAATTCCTCTAGCCTCCTTTCATTTGTTTTCATCCTCGTTGTGAGAAAATGCTTTGCCTCCAGCAAAGCTGTGGCTTCTTTGGCTACAATGGGGCTGTCCCAGCTGGATTATTTCTTGGTTTTCAACAGTGTTGGTCTGAGTGCTGGGTCTACTATAGTACCCCATTTTCTGTCCCATTCCATGTTGTGGGGGTCCTGTATCCCTGGTAAGTTCCACAGGTTGTGTGGTAGAATTTCTTTATCCAGGTCATCTGATGCTGAGGAGGAAGACAGGAAGGCTGGGACAGCAATTTGGTGGCGGTGCGGACACCCAAGCCGCCGAGCCTGACAGGAAGAGTGGCTTGTTTCCACTGGCATTCATTGAAGAAAAGGTTGACAACTTTTTCTAAGTAATAACATTGTCTTCAGTAATAGGTCATACTCTTCAAGCTTTGGGCTGTTGTAAGATGGGGCGCACCTTAGGAAGTAGGTTAGCCTGGGAAGGGAAGATATAGTGAGGAGATATAAAGCATCGTGGGCATCGATGTCACCTATTCTGTCTTCCATCCTCCTGAGGTCTGTGATTTTTTTATCAAGGATCTCCTCAATGGCGTCAGACCCGAGGGGGGGCTCCAAGGAGAGTGCTGTTTTCAGCCCTAATTACATGAGCTCTGGGCAAGGCAGACCTTATTCTAGTTACGATGTCTGGGTTGGAGGAGAATACTTCACACTAGGAAGGGTGACTTGCTCCCTTATTTTTCTGATGTCTTCCAGGAAGTGGTTTAGCGGGCCAGCTATAGTGCCATCATCCAAAAAACAGATGTTGAACTCGCTGGACAAGCTTTCAGTGATTTCTTTTAAGACTAAGCAGAAAAGAATAGGAGCTAGAGGATCACCTTGCTGAACACCTTCACATGATCTGATTTCGTGTTCGCCAAAGAGCAATTTTGACTCACCACTGTAGCAGGATGGTATGAACGAGTAGAGGGGCCGGAAATGCGATGTACGGCACAAAGTACTGCATCTCTTCTGACCATGTTGAAGGCATTCTTAAAGTCCAGTTTCAGCAGGGCCTCTTTGTCAGAAATACTTGGTGATGTTTACTCATGCTGCATGACCAGCCGCTTCACAGCCTTGGGGGATCCCAGATCCTAGCTGAATTGGTTTCAGCAATTCAGCCGCTTGTTGGCTGACCATCCTCGTGGCAGCCTTGGCCACCAGGCGTCGGAGAGTGTTGCCAACAGCGATTGACCTGATTCCTCCATCATTCTTCTTGAGAGCGCATAGCTTGTTAAAAAAGAATTGCCTGATGACCTGAGGTATATCACCAGCCAGACACGCATTGGCGAATCTTGTGAGTTCCATTTGTGGACCTGCGTAAGGCTTTTGACACTGTCAACCACAAAACCTTCTTCTTAAATTACATCATTATGGAGTCAGAGGACACTCCCTGCAATACCTCAAATCTTACCTTACTGACAGGCTCCAGTATGTTTCTGTGAATAATTCAATTTCTCCCACCCTACCCATCAACATCGGTGTTCCTCAGGGCAGCATACTTGGCCCTCTCCACTTTCTCATCTACATTAATGACCTTCCAAATGCCTCCCAATATCTCAAACCAATTCTATTTGCTGACAACACAACCTTCATTTACTCCTGTCCTGACCCCCTTGCTTTAAATGCCACAGTAAATACTGAGCTAAATAAAGTCCATCTTTGGCTAACTGCCAACAAACTCACCCTTAACATTGACAAAACTTTCTATATTCTGTTTGGCAATAAATCCTCTAATCAAATAAATCTCAGGATAAACAATACCCAAATTTGTAACAAAATAGATGGCAAATTCCTTGGCGTTCTCATTGACCACAAGCTGAATTTCCAGGGACACATTCTAAATATATCAAAAAAGTTTCAAAAACTGTTGGCATTCTTTCTAAGATCAGATACTATGTACCTCGCCCTGGCCTGGTGACTCTCTATTACTCCCTCATCTATCCTTATCTCAACTATGGTATTTGTGCTTGGGGTTCTACTACCCAAAATCATTTACGTCCTCTAATTACTCAACACAAAGCTGCTATTAGGACAATATCCAACTCTGGCCCCAGACATCACTCGGTACCCCTACTCAAATCTCTGAATATGTTAGATATTAAATCACTGCACATTCTCTCATGTGTATTATACATATATAAAACGCTGAACTGTAATGCCAATCCTGACCTCAAAAGCTTCATTGAAGGTTGTAACAGAACCCATGAGCACCACACCAGAAATAAATACAGTTTTGATATTCCTAGAGTACGACTTAATCAAACTAGAAATGCTCTACAAATCAAGGGACCCAGAATGTGGAATGACCTTCCCAACCATGTTAAAGACTGTACCTCTCTCAACCAGTTTAAGATATAAACGAAGCACTACCTAATAAATTCCCTGTAACCTACCTTACCCCTCTATTGTCAACCCATGTCTGTTTTTTTAAACAACACTGTTTGTCGACCTAATTGTATTTGTGCTGCTTTTTCTGCCATGTTCCCCCCTTTTTTATTTTTATTTTTAATTGTTCTCAACACATTTTATACTTTAATCTCAATTAGTATTAAGTTTTAGTCTTTAATGTTTTTCCTGCCCGAAACGCTTTGCGTAATAGTGGCTTTAGGCATTGTGTGTACTAGCTCTATCTATAAATCCATCAATTTTTCTAAAACCTCTTGTATGTATGTACTTTACCTGAATAAGAAGACTTTGTGCAGAAACACCAACTGCAAGATTCAACATTTGTTTGATATAATTTTCTCGTCATTGGTAAGGACTCTAATAGCACTTGCGGCATTTCCCTCTTTAATATTCTTGCAGATTTGTGCTCTGATTTTGTGCGTTTCCGATGTGTTGTTGTTACCATTTCTGCGGTGGGTGTGTTTTGCTCGAAGAGGCAGGCGAACTAGGTTGTCCCCCCTTGGGTATTCAGTTATCGCCCTCAGGACCGAGGAAGCAAGTGATTTGTCCCTCCTTGGAGGGACGGTGAGGCATACATTGCCAATCAAAAGGACGTTATGCCACGCTTGAATGTTTTCCGGCGCGTCATTGACCCTTTTCAGAAGAGTAGAGAGTTTGGCTGCAGCATTTGGGCTGGTTGCTTTTGGGATGTGTGGTAATGTTCTAGCAGACGTCGCTATGATCGCTTGGGTGAGGTTTTCAGATGAGATTAAGTTGATAGGAGTGTCTTCCCTAACTGTTAATGGCAGCTGGCCGTTGCTTCCCAACACGCATAGCGTTTTGGGCAGGTCCTTAATCTGAACATATAATTTTAAGTAAGTAATTTCTTTTTAAATTTGAGAATTATCAACAGGTACATTGTAGCATAATTTGAGGAAAAAGTAAATTGTAGTAAAATTTGCGTTCAATACAACAATCATGATATAAGATGATAGCAGTGATTACAATGGTGAATATGTATGGCTTAGGCACATATATTGGGGGAGTGGGTAGCACAAGATACAGTGCGAGTTAGAAGAACTAGGCAGGAAACTATGAGGATGGTATTAGGTACTTTTTGGTGTTACGTTTGAATAAGGCAATGTTGGACAGCTTTTCAATTCGTTAGGCAGTGAGTTCCATAGACCAGGTCTCTTTATTTGCATTGAGATTTTACACAGATTTAGTTTGATTCTGGGGATATCAAAGAGATATATATTTCTGGTGTAATGATTAGGGATTCAATTACATTTGTCAAGGAAGAGTTTTAGAATAGGGGTTTGCATGTAAGAACAGGATTTTGTAAATGTAACTGACACAAGAGAATGTGTGGAGTGAGTTTATGTTTAGCATGTTTAGGGATTTAAACAAGGGGGCTGATTGTTGTCTGAAAGCAGAGTTTGTTATTGTTCTGATAGCAGATTTTTGCTGGGTGGTGATGGACTTGAGGTAATTTGCAGAGGTTGAGCCCCATGCACAGATACCGTATGTAAGATAGGGATAGATTAGTATGTAATATAATGAAAGGAGAGCAGAGTTTGGAACATAATATCTGATTTTAGAGATATTATGAGATTTTATATTTAGAGATATTATATTTTTATAATTTTAGAGATAACTAAAATATTTAGAGATATTATATTTAGAGATATTACTACCAACCGTTTTTGAGACTTTTTTGGTTATGTGTTGTATGTGTATGTTGAAGATGAGTCTTTTGTCTAATTATAGGTCAAGGAACTTTCCATCATTTTTATTGCTAATGTTTACATTATCTATCTGGAGCTGAACTGCATTCGATGATTTGCTTCCAAATAAGATGTAGTAGGTCTTTTCTATGTTTAGTGTGAGTTTGTTGGTTAACATCCACAAGTGGACTGTTTTTTAGTTCATTATTCACAACATTATTTAGTGTATGTGGGTTGGGGTCTGAGTAGATGAGGGTAGTATCATCAGCAAACAATGTAGGTTTAAGCACATTAGAGACATTAGCAGATCATTGATGTATATAAGAAACAAGAGGGGTCTAGGATGCTGCCCTGTGGCACCCCTACGGTTAGTGGTAGAGTGGGAGAGATTATATCATTGATGGCTGCATATTGGTGTCTGTCTCTAAGATAGGATCAGATATATTTCAGGGCATGGTCACGGATTCCATAATGGTGGAGTTGAAGTGAGAGGTAGTTATGGTTAACAGTATCAAAGGCCTTTCTCAGGTCAATGGTCAATGAAGGTCAAACTTTGTCAGGTTTCCCAATTGGAAACTCATTATTGTCAAGAGCTGAGGAGATTATATCATGCAGACTAATAATTGCATCGTTGGTTCCCCTTTGAGCGGAAGCCAAACTGTCAGGGACTTAGTATGTTGAGTTTTATATTGAGTTAAGGATTGGTGCCCGGTCAGTCCTCCCCGCCCAGGATACGAACCCAGGCCAAAACGCTTGCTAAGTGCCAGGCGAGTGTTCCACCACTGCGCCATGGAGACTTTACGACACGGCCAGATTCACGAAGCAGTTACGCAAGTACGTAGGAACGTGTACATCTTTCCTCAATCATTGACGGCTTTGATTACATTTATGAAACAGTTTACAAGCATTAAAACTTCGGAATCAACTGTTTTTATTGTTATAAACAGCCTCCTGGTGCTTCAGAGCTCATTAACTGTTTAATAGTAAACAAAGCCGCCAAAGATTGAGAAAAGATGTATAGGTTCGTAAGTGCTTGCATAACTGCTTCGTGAATGTAGCCGCCCTCTAGTGACTGGTTTTCAAAGCTTTTGTTGACATAACGTTTTGTGATAAAAGATTTTCTAAATTTTAAATAATGTTTTTATTTATATAATGGTCTCATGAGTGACATAACGGTTTTTATTGACATCACGTTTTTATTGATATAATGCTTTCGTTATTGACTTAACGTTTTCTTTATTGATGATTTTTTTAACGTTTTCTTTATTGATGACGTCTCTTTAACGTTTTCTTTATTGGTGATGTCTCTTTAATGTTTTCTTTATTGGCGTAACCTTTGGGACGTTGCAGGTGTGGGGAGCGGCCTTGTGTTCACCGTTGGGATCCCTTACCTGGACGACGCCATCAGTAAACACGACGCCCCGCTCTACCTAGGTAAGCTCCTCCCCAACACTGTCCGCTCTACCTAGGTAAGCTCCTTCCCAACACTGTCCGCTCTACCTAGGTAAGCTCCTCCCCAACACTGTCCGCTCTACCTAGGTAAGCTCCTGCCCAACACTGCCCGCTCTACCTCTTAGTAATACTACAGTTCCAAATTACTTATACACCCAATTTTATCCTAAATAATGATGGTGAGGTGGGGGATGGGGGAGCGCCTTTGACAAGCACCTGGTGTTCCTGTCCCCGTCGGGGTCACTGTGGCCCTCAGATAAACTCATGCCACAGTTGCTGCTTGAGTGATGTGTGACCCTAGAGTGCCAGTGGTGCCAGGAGTGTCAGTGGTGCCAGGAGTGCCAGTGGTGCCAGGAGTGCCAGTGGTGCCAGGAGTGCCAGTGGTGCCAGGAGTGCCGGTGGTGCCAGGAGTGTCAGTGGTGCCAGGAGTGCCAGGGGTGCCAGTGGTGCCAGTGGTGCCAGAGGTGCCAGGAGTGCCAGTGGTGCCAGGAGTGCCAGTGGTGCCAGGGGTGCCAGTGGTGCCAGGAGTGCCAGTGGTGCCAGTGGTGCCAGGAGTGCCAGTGGTGCCAGTGGTGCCAGGGGTGCCAGTGGTGCCAGGAGTGCCAGTGGTGCCAGTGGTGCCAGGAGTGCCAGTGGTGCCAGTGGTGCCAGGGGTGCCAGTGGTGCCAGGAGTGCCAGTGGTGCCAGAAGTGCCAGGGGTGCCAGGAGTGCCAGTGGTGCCAGGAGTGCCAGGGGTGCCAGTGGTGCCAGGGGTGCCTGTGGTGCCAGGAGTGCCAGGGGTGCCAGGGGTGCCAGTGGTGCCAGGGGTGCCTGTGGTGCCAGGAGTGCCAGGGGTGCCAGTGGTGCCAGGAGTGCCAGGGGTGCTAGGGGTGCCAGGAGTGCCAGTGGTGCCAGGAGTGCCAGTGGTGCCAGGAGTGCCAGTGGATCCAGGAGTGCCAGTGGTGCCAGTGGTGCCAGTGGTGCCAGGAGTGCCAGTGGTGCCAGGAGTGCCTGTGGTGCCAGGAGTGCCTGTGGTGCCAGGAGTGCCAGTGGTGCCAGGAGTGCCAGGGGTGCCAGGGGTGCCAGTGGTGCCCAGGAGTGCCAGTGGTGCCAGTGGTGCCAGGGGTGCCAGTGGTGCCAGGAGTGCCAGTGGTGCCAGGAGTGCCAGTGGTGCTAGGAGTGCCAGGGGTGCCAGGGGTGCCAGTGGTGCCAGGAGTGCCAGTGGTGCCAGGAGTGCCAGTGGTGCCAGGGGTGCCAGTGGTGCCAGGAGTGCCAGTGGTGCCAGTGGTGCCAGGAGTGCCTGTGGTGCCAGGAGTGCCAGTGGTGCCAGTGGTGCCAGGAGTGCCTGTGGTGCCAGGAGTGCCAGGGGTGCCAGGGGTGCCAGTGGTGCCAGTGGTGCCAGGGGTGCCAGTGGTGCCAGGAGTGCCAGGAGTGCCAGTGGTGCCAGGAGTGCCAGTGGTGCCAGGAGTGCCAGTGGTGCCAGTGGTGCCAGGAGTGTCAGTGGTGCCAGTAGTGCCAGTGGTGCCAGGAGTGCCAGTGGTGCCAGGGGTGCCAGTGGTGCCAGGAGTGCCAGGGGTGCCAGTGGTGCCAGGAGTGCCAGTGGTGCCAGGAGTGCCAGTGGTGCCAGGAGTGCCAGTGGTGCCAGTGGTGCCAGGAGTGCCAGTGGTGCCAGGAGTGCCAGTGGTGCCAGGAGTGCCAGGAGTGCCAGTGGTGCCAGGAGTGCCAGTGGTGCCAGTGGTGCCAGGGGTGCCAGTGGTGCCAGTGGTGCCAGGAGTGCCAGGGGTGCCAGTAGTGCCAGGAGTGCCAGTGGTGCCAGGAGTGCCAGTGGTGCCAGGAGTGCCAGTGGTGCCAGGAGTGCCAGTGGTGCCAGTAGTGCCAGGAGTGCCAGTGGTGCCAGGAGTGCCAGTGGTGCCAGTGGTGCCAGGAGTGCCAGTGGTGCCAGTGGTGCCAGTGGTGCCAGGAGTGCCAGTGGTGCCAGGAGTGCCAGGGGTGCCAGGAGTGCCAGTGGTGCCAGTGGTGCCAGGAGTGCCAGTGGTGCCAGGAGTGCCAGTGATGCCAGGAGTGCCAGGAGTGCCAGTGGTGCCAGTGGTGCCAGGAGTGCCAGTGGTGCCAGGGGTGCCAGTGGTGCCAGGAGTGCCAGTGGTGCCAGGAGTGCCAGGAGTGCCAGTGGTGCCAGGAGTGCCAGTGGTGCCAAAAGTGCCAGTGGTGCCAGGAGTGCCAGTGGTGCCAGGGGTGCCAGTGGTGCCAGGAGTGCCAGTGGTGCCAGGAGTGCCAGGAGTGCCAGTGGTGCCAGGAGTGCCAGTGGTGCCAGTGGTGCCAGGAGTGCCAGTGGTGCCAGGAGTGCCAGGGGTGCCAGTGGTGCCAGGAGTGCCAGTGGTGCCAGGAGAGCCAGGAGTGCCAGGGGTGCCAGGGGTGCCAGTGGTGCCAGGGGTGCCAGTGGTGCCAGTGGTGCCAGGAGTGCCAGTGGTGCCAGGAGTGCCAGTGCTGCCAGGAGTGCCAGTGGTGCCAGTGGTGCCAGGAGTGCCAGTGGTGCCAGTGGTGCCAGGGGTGCCAGTTATGCCAGGAGTGCCAGTGGTGCCAGGAGTGCCAGGAGTGCCAGTGGTGCCAGGAGTGCCAGGGGTGCCAGTGGTGCCAGGAGTGCCAGTGGTGCCAGGAGTGCCAGGGGTGCCAGTGGTGCCAGGAGTGCCAGTGGTGCCAGGAGTGCCAGGGGTGCCAGGAGTGCCAGTGGTGCCAGGAGTGCCAGTGGTGCCAGGAGTGCCAGGGGTGCCAGGGGTGCCAGTGGTGCCAGGAGTGCCAGTGGTGCCAGGGGTGCCAGGGGTGCCAGGAGTGCCAGTGGTGCCAGTGGTGCCAGGGTGCCAGTGGTGCCAGGAGTGCCAGTGGTGCCAGGAGTGCCAGGGGTGCCAGTGGTGCCAGGGGTGCCAGGAGTGCCAGTGGTGCCAGGAGTGCCAGTGGTGCCAGGGGTGCCAGTGGTGCCAGGAGTGCCAGTGGTGCCAGGAGTGCCAGTGGTGCCAGTGGTGCCAGGGGTGCCAGGAGTGCCAGGGGTGCCAGTGGTGCCAGGAGTGCCTGTGGTGCCAGGGGTGCCAGTGGTGCCAGGAGTGCCAGGAGTGCCAGGGGTGCCAGTGGTGCCAGGAGTGCCAGGGGTGCCAGTGGTGCCAGGGGTGCCAGTGGTGCCAGGAGTGCCAGGGGTGCCAGGAGTGCCAGGGGTGCCAGTGGTGCCAGGAGTGCCACGGGTGCCCAACCCGTTCTCGCACTTGGTTATAGTCAATATTGACTTATTTAATAAGTGCATATGTGACATACTAATTGATTGTGAATATTTTAGTTTACTTTAAAAAAAGCTTCATAGAAAACACCGACCTCACCTAACCTTCTTAGTATGTTAAGATAAGCATCTTATTGCTTCTTATTTACAATTATTACTTAACCTATCAACGGTAAAGGTTAAGTAATAATTGTAATTAAGAAGCAATAAGACGCTTATCTTAACATACTAAGAAGGTTAGGTGAGGTCGGTGTTTTCTATGAAGATTTTCAAGGTAAACTAAAATTTTTACAATCAATTTGTATGTCACATATGCACTTATTAAATAAGTCAATATTGACTATAAGCAAGTGCGAGAACGGGTTGGTTAACCAGTACTCTCTTGCTTAGTCTTTCCTTCACACTAGCTTCCATCTCTCTACTTTCCCTCCCTCTCTCCCCCTCCCTCACCTCACTCTTCCTTCTTCTGTGCTTCTCTTCCTCTCTATTCCTCTCCTTCACTCGTGATTATCGCTTCTCATTTTGCAATCATCCCGTCTGTTTATTTTCTTACACCCCTTTGCAAAGTGAACAGCGGCATCAGGTGAAAGGGACCGTGTTCAACCGTTTCTGACCTACCCGAGGATAAGGGAAATAAGGAGTAAAATTGCTTGTCAACTAATAATACTTTCACTCCACAACTGGTGAAGATTGAGCCGCCCAGGTGATGGCACGGGCATGAATAGCCCCTGATGGCTCAGTGCTCCTGTGTGTACTATAATCTACAGTGACCTCTACAGTGTGTGGCAATATTAGGTCCGTTTAGCACAGTGGTCTACATCATGCTCGAGAGACCCGGGCTCAATCCCCGCGCAGGACAGAAACTATTGAGCTGGTTTCCTTCCCACCTGATGCTTCTGTTCACCTAGCAGTAAACAGGAACCTGGGATTTAGGTGACTGTTGTGGGTTGCATCCTGGGGAAGGTCAGTAAATGGCCTATGGGGACAGGAACGTGGATAGGCCTATGTGCAGGCCTCCTGTCTCCGACAACCTGAATTAAATGTTTCTCGCTCGTGTATTGACGCTATTGCTTTCTTCTCCAGCTGTGATCGTCGCGACGGGAGTGTTTGGGCCACTCCTGGGCCTCTCCCTCTCTGACCTGACCCTTGGCCTGTACGTGTACCCCACCCTCCACCCTGGTGAGTATCTGGCCTGACCCTTGACCTCTGAGTACCCTACCCTCCACCCTGGTGAGTATCTGACCTGACCCTTGACCTCTGAGTACGCTACCCACCACCCTGGTGAGTATCTGACCTGACCCTTGACCTCTGAGTACCCTACCCTCCACCCTGGTGAGTATCTGACCTGACCCTTGACCTCTGAGTACCCTACCCTCCACCCTGGTGAGTATCTGACCTGACCCTTGACCTCTGAGTACCCTACCCTCCACCCTGGTGAGTATCTGACCTGACCCTTGACCTCTGAGTACCCTACCCTCCACCCTGGTGAGTATCTGACCTGACCCTTGACCTCTGAGCACCCTACCCTCCACCCTGGTGAGTATCTGACCTGACCCTTGACCTCTGAGTACCCTACCCACCACCCTTGTGAGTATCTGACCTGACCCTTGACCCTCCACCCTGGTGAGTATCTGACCTGACCCTTGACCTCTGAGTACCCTACCCTCCACCCTGGTGAGTATCTGACCTGACCCTTGACCTCTGAGTACCCTACCCTCCACCCTGGTGAGTATCTGACCTGACCCTTGACCTCTGAGTACCCTACCCTCCACCCTGGTGAGTATCTGACCTGACCCTTGACCTCTGAGTACCCTACCCTCCACCCTGGTGAGTATCTAACCTGACCCGTGACCTCTGAGCACCCTACCCTCCACCCTGGTGAGTATCTGACCTGACCCTTGACCTCTGAGCACCCTACCCACCACCCTGGTGAGTATCTGACCTGACCCTTGACCTCTGAGCACCCTACCCACCACCCTGGTGAGTATCTGACCTGACCCTTGACCTCTGAGCACCCTACCCACCACCCTGGTGAGTATCTGACCTGACCCTTGACCTCTGAGCACCCTACCCACCACCCTGGTGAGTATCTGACCTGACCCTTGACCTCTGAGCACCCTACCCACCACCCTGGTGAGTATCTGACCTGACCCTTGACCTCTGAGCACCCTACCCACCACCCTGGTGAGTATCTGACCTGACCCTTGACCTCTGAGCACCCTACCCTCCACCCTGGTGAGTATCTGACCTGACCCTTGACCTCTGAGCACCCTACCCACCACCCTGGTGAGTATCTGACCTGACCCTTGACCTCTGAGCACCCTACCCACCACCCTGGTGAGTATCTGACCTGACCCTTGACCTCTGAGCACCCTACCCACCACCCTGGTGAGTATCTGACCTGACCCTTGACCTCTGAGCACCCTACCCACCACCCTGGTGAGTATCTGACCTGACCCTTGACCTCTGAGCACCCTACCCTCCACCCTGGTGAGTATCTGACCTCTGAATTTCAACCTTTACAAAAAACAACCAAGAATAAGCCCGACCACTTTAGTAAGGTAATGAGGAAGAGCAAGACGCCAGGCAAGTAAGCCACTTGCTTGTCCTGACCCTCGAGGTCAGTCGTCTCTTAATAACTGAACCATTGGTCAGTCTGATGACGTTGTTACCGCTCACCTTATGTGCTCGTGTTGTCTTCCTCAGTGGTATTTAGCGCCGCTAACGGTGCTCCATACCAGGGACGGTAACAAGCTATAATGTAACACACACATATAAGGGACGACAACAAGCTATAATGTAACACACATATAAGGGACGACAACAAGCTATAATGTAACACATATAAGGGACGACAACAAGCTATAATGTAACACACATATAAGGGACGACAACAAGCTATAATGTAACACATATAAGGGACGACAACAAGCTACAATGTAACACATATAAGGGACGACAACAAGCTACAATGTAACACACATAAGGGACGACAACAAGCTACAATGTAACACACACACACACACACACACACACACACACACACACACACACATAAGAGTTGGGTGGTGACCACCGGCCGGGTCGGATGCTCCTGTGGTGTCTCCGCGCCTGGCTAGTGTTTACGTTGGGTGATTGCTGGTTGCCCTGCTGCTGGTGGCGGTTTGTCACTGACAGGGTGACATTTGGATTTGCCATGGGGACTTCTCGACCTCCAGTGAAGAGGACATTGTCGGCTGGTCTGCCATTTACGGTGCCGGTGGACCATCCGGTGGGTTGGTGTCGCCCTAGTGGACGTGCTACATGCAGCTGTCGGACTTAGTGGGCGTCCAGCGACTTCAGGGCAACCGTACTGTGGTCAAGTTCCGCCTTCAGGCTGCCTTTCAGGCATTTCTATAACGGTGTGAGGGGGCGTGTTTACCCTCTCCCTGATACCGCTGGTTCTGTTAAAGTGGTGAATCTTAGTGTCGCCTTGATGTACGTGACGGTGAATAGTGCCCCCTTCGAATTTCAGGACGAACTTTTAACCTCCTGTTTTGAACAGTTTAGGACTGTGTTAAGTGTTCATTGGAACAAGGTCCTTTCCGGGCACTGTGCTGGGATGCTTGACGGTTCCCGCACCCTGACGATATCGCTGAAGTGTAGTGTTCCGTCTTTTATGTCCATGTTAGGTTACATGCTCCGCTGCCTGTATTGGGGGCAACTGCGCACTTGTTATAGGTGTGGTCACGAGGGTCATCTGGCTGCAGCGTGTAATGTGGGCACAACTGGTAGGGGGCATATTTTTCACGCGGAGGATTTTCTGCCCCTGTTGCATTCGGACGGTTCTGAGGACGGTGTGGGTCCTGTGCTTGAGACGCCTGATTGCCTGTCTGCTGCTCCGCCTATTGAGGCGAGTTGTATGGCCAGTGCGACACGTCTGATAACTGCTGTGGCCCCTGGGGTTGTTGAGACAGTGTGTGTGGGTGTCGGGCCGTCGCCTGCTCTGCGTGTAGTGAAGGATGTCCCAGTGGAGGTCCATGTCCCGCCCCCGCCTGTGGATGTGGTCCCGGCTCCTGGGGGCACGGGTTCTTCTGTTTTGGAGTGGGATGCTTCGGCAAAGGGAGGTGCCTGCCATGTCTGTGTGTGTTGACGACGGTAGTTTTCATGCTTCCATCCCTTTACAGAAGCGTGCGCGCCAGTGTTCTGAGACTGTTTCCCTGGATGATGTGGAGAGTGCGGGTGATGTGGCCTCTGTGGACTCTTCGGACGGTGAGGGCGTGGACTGTATGGATGTGAAGATGGTGGCTGTGCCTGCGGTAGGGCCTGGTGGGAGTGGTGTGGTGCGGCCTGTCGTGAAGTGTTCGCGGTGGGGTCAGAGTATGTCTTCCCTTCGTGGTGTGCCTTGGGAGCAGGTGGGGGAGTATGGTGCTCCGGCATCCCCCGCCGTAGGTGACGGGGCTGTGAGGGGGCTCCGAGTTGGTTCCTGTGGGCCCTCCCTCCCTGCGCCTCCTACTGTTGGATTCCCGCAGTGGGGTGTTGCCCCCTGATGATCGGGACCTCGTCGTGGTGTTGAGGAAAGATGTGTGCCGGGAGGCCTCGGCTCCTGTACCTAGTGGTGGGGTCGATGCTGCGCCTGCGTCCCCTGCGATTCTCCCTCCTTCATTCCCCCGGTCTGGGGGAAGCCTTGTCCCGGCTACTGGGGTCGTGTCCCGTGAGGGTCAGGTGTTGGCCCTTATCGGGATGCCTGGGTGCTTCCGATCTCGTGGTGCTCTTCCACTATATGGGTGTTGCTGGCGAAGGAGTTTGCTTATGGGGTGCTGGATAGGATGTCTCAGCCAAAGGCGCCACCTGGTGGCCGGTTGTCCTTTGACACGTTCATGATTTGGGAAGCGTACTGCTTGCGCTTTCTGAAATACAAGTTCCCGGAAAAATATTAGTGGTTGTCGTGCGCACAACGCTACGCCATGGATCCCCTGACGCCATGAACTCGTCATCCCGCCCTACGGTGCGGCAAGTCTCCCTCTACTATCCACCTCTGTTTTAGTCGCCGCTCCTCTATCTACGGCGCGACACAACAAGCACTTTTGACATTCTTATCCTGGTGGAGTGATCGGGAGCGTAAGCCCTTCATGCAAGCTGCACCTACTCTCAAGAAGAAGAGAACACACATAAGGGACGACAACAACAAGCTACAATGTAACACACATAAGGGACGACAACAAGCTACAATGTAACACACATAAGGGACGACAACAAGCTACAATGTAACACACATAAGGGACGACAACAACAAGCTACAATGTAACACACATAAGGGACGACAACAAGCTACAATGTAACACACATAAGGGACGACAACAAGCTACAATGTAACACACATAAGGGACGACAACAAGCTACAATGTAACACACATATAAGGGACGACAACAAGCTACAATGTAACACACATAAGGGACGACAACAAGCTACAATGTAACACACATAAGGGACGACAACAAGCTACAATGTAACACATATAAGGGACAACAACAAGCTACAATGTAACACACATAAGGGACGACAACAAGCTACAATGTAACACACATAAGGGACGACAACAAGCTACAATGTAACACACATATAAGGGACGACAACAAGCTACAATGTAACACATATAAGGGACAACAACAAGCTACAATGTAACACACATAAGGGACGACAACAAGCTACAATGTAACACACATAAGGGACGACAACAAGCTACATTGTAACATACATAAGGGACGACACCTAGCCACAATGTAGGACAGCAACCCGTCTTCCTAATAGATCGTCGCATTTTGGTGCGCATTTGGTGCGCCCCCCCCCCCCCCTCTCCTGAAGAGGGGGGGGCGTTACTTACAAATTTGCCCCAAATATACAATAAATGAAAACTCATTCGATTTCAATCAAACTTTTTTGACTAGTTGTATATAAAAAGTGTTTCATCTGGTCCAAGTCTCAGCATCGTAGCATAAATAGGAAGGGAGAAAAAAATATTGAATTATGTGTCAAAAATTTTCCAAAATGATCAAAAACGATTATCAAACACAAGTGTCAACTGAAATCATGTCTATGACTCTCAGCTATCACAGCAGCATATATTAAAAACAAATTACAATTAGTTTTATTAAAAAATATTTAGTTAATTTTTTTTTTAACTTTATCTCTCTTTTTATTTATCGGGCGATTTGCATTAAACTTATACACGTGACTGCACATAAGCCTATCTGTAAGGGTGCCAATTTTGGAGGAAATTGGTTGATGTCAACCTCAGCCACAGATGGCAGCACCTTAGACTTTATTTTTTACTGATTTATTTTCAAGTAACATAAACGTTCATATAACTCTTTCATTTGTTATTCAATTTACATGAAACTTACACCTTATATGTAAAGTTTATGTCTCTAACATCTGTGGGAAGCGTTTTTTCCTAAGTTCATTTATTGGTTTTTATAAATAGCAATAAAGATGATATATTTGTATAATTCTGGGAGAACATTGACTATTTATATTAGGAAAACTTAAGACGTTTTAGAAAATCCCCTTCTATAGATCCTTTATTGTATGCTAATGTGTCAGAAAAGTGTCATAGAATGATTATATCTGAAAGGTGTGGTTGTAAATATACACTTGAAAATGTATAAAAATCGTTGAAAAAAAATGAAAATAATAAAAATCTCCTTTACTATTTAGGCTACAGTACTGAAACTTGGAACAATTACAGCCCTTTTCATATACAACTAGTTAAAAAATATTGGTTGACATTGAACAACTTTTATTTTCCAGAAATAGCCAACAAGTGTCGTACTAGAAAATGGAAGCGGCTCGCGAAATTGACATACTGTCCCGTTTTCTGTTTTGGGTGCTCTGGTTGTTTAGGATCAGGGCTCTTTAGTACGACAGTTTCTTGACGTTGGGGAGCCTTAGGAGGACGGGCTGAGGACAACATGGGAGACACATTTCACCCATTGGGTAATACTCCCATTGACTCACCTTCCGTCATCATCATAAATGCCAACACATTACGTCTGTTTCAAAATTCATCTGGAAAATCTTCAGGAATAACTGAAAAGTTATTTCATATTAACTTTCAATTAAAATTATTTTTCAAAATATTTCAAAAAATTTTCAAAAATTCAAAATTCAAAATTTCAAAAATATTTCAAAGTTATTTCAAAATAACTTTAGCAGTCTCCGTGGTGTAGTGGTAAGACACTCGCCTGGCGTTCCGCGAGCGCTATGTCATGGGTTCGTATCCTGGCCGGGGAGGATTTACTGGGCGCAATTCCTTAACTGTAGCCTCTGTTTAACGCAACAGTAAAATGTGTACTTGGTTGTAACAACGATTCTTCGCGGCAGGGGATCGTATTCCAGGGACCATAGGATTAAGGACTTGCCCGAAACGCTACGCGTACTAGTGGCTGTACAAGAATGTAACAACTCTTGTATATATCTAAAAAAAAAAGAAAAAAAGAGTCTCCGTGGTGTAGTGGTAAGACACTCACCTGGCGTTCCGCGAGCGCTATGTCATGGGTTCGTATCCTGGCCGGGGAGGATTTACTGGGTGCAAATCCTTAACTGTAGCCTCTGTTTAACGCAACAGTAAAATGTGTACTTGGTTGTAACAACGATTCTTCGCGGCGGGGATCGTATTCCAGGGACCTGCCCGAAACGCTACGCGTACTAGTGGCTGTACGAGAATGTAACAACTCTTGTATATATCTCAAAAAATATATATATATATTGTATATTGACCATTAACAAGCCCCCGGCTTCTTGTCCCCGCCGAGGCCACTAAAGACGATGTCCCTCAAGTAAATTCAGGTAATAGGTAAATATATTAATAAGTTTAAGAAAGATAATGTTGGTGAAGAAAGAGGATGTCGATCCTGACACCTTCTTCAGAAGGTCAGATGTAACACAAACAAGGAGCAGCGGGTTCCAGCTCAATAAGCCACAGTGTAGGACTGAGAACAGGAGATGCTTTTTTCACCCACACCCACCCATGGAACCGCCTACCTGCCGAAGCCGTAACTGCCAAAACTCTATTAGGTTTTCAAATCGAGTCAAAAAAAAACATGAGAGCAAATAGGGGTACCCTTGACAAGCTGTCGGCTTCCTGTCTTCGTCGAGGCCACTAGTGATATTGGCCCTCGGGTAAATTCAGGTAAAGAGGGTCCCGGTAGTACAGTCGGGTTCATTCTCGACTTGCAATTGAAGGGTTCGAGTCCCGGGCGGGACGGAAATCATTGACCGAGTATGTACTCAGACTAACTCCTGAGTAAGTAGGTAGTCAGGAGTTAATCAGCTTGTTATGGTGTTGCATCCTGGCCCGGGTCAGTAATTCGACCTTGCGGAAAGGGGTCCTTGATACAAGCCTAACGTGTATATGAATATACTCTGGCTGTCTGTCCCCACGACACAATGAATTATAATTATTATTAAACAATCTTGCATGTTAGCCATATCTTCCAATTACAGGCAAATTACAAGCCTTCGGAATAACGGTCCCATCATCTGGGGGCAGCATGCGTACACCACCTGCGATGTTGACATTGTTCCTTCCTTACAGGCGTGATGACCTCTGATGACCCGAGGTGGGTCGGGGCCTGGTGGCTGGGTCAGCTGGGCTTCTCAGTCGTCATGCTCGCCATGGCTTCCCTACTCCTCCTCTTCCCCAGGTATGTGCCTCCCTACTCCCTACTCCTTCCCCTTCCATTATCAACTGATCAACTGATAATGCATAGAGTGTGCCGTGATCCGGCTTGTGACCCCTCTTGACATACCAGAGAACATACTGAAAAAGTTTCTCCAAGCTGTACTAAAGAGGCACCCTTCTTGAGTCCCGATGGGCACATGTATAAGCAAGTAGATGAGGTCTCCATGAGTTCTCCTCTGTGTCCTGTTTGCAAACTTCTACATGGGCACCATAGAGCAGAGGGTCTTAGTTGACATGGACTTGAAACCCGCCATATACTGCAGGTACGTTGATGACATTTTTATGCAGGTACCTGATGTCAGATGTCTGCAGCAGCTAAAGGAGGCATTCGAACAAAATTCGGTGTTAAGTTTCACTTACAAGATGGAGAGTGATGGAAGGCTGCCCTTTCTAGATGTAACAGTCATGGAGAGGAATGGTGGCTTCCACACGGCAGTCTACACTAAGGAAACGAACATAGGAATGTGCCTTAATGAAAACAGTGACTGCCCAGACAGGTACAAGAGGAGTGTCGTCAATGCATAAGTCGACCGAGCTCTCACTCACAGCTCTGGTTGGAAGCAGGTCGACGAAGAACTCTGTAGAGTAAGGCACGTCCTAGTCAACAATGACTTCTCTAACGGTTACGTTGAAGATGTCATCAAAAGAAATGTGGAACGTCATGCAACCTCTGAAGAGTCAACTAACACAACACTTGTACTTCCTATTAGACTGTTTATAGGAATTGCTTTTCAACGGCTCACAAAACGGAGGAAAGTGTCCTGAAAGATATTATTACTAGGAACGTTATCCCCACAGGCACAAATCAGAATATACAATTAACAATTTACTACAAAAACAAGAAAGCAGCCAACCTACTCTCGAAGAACTCTTCAGACACCAAACAGAACACCTTGAAAGAAACCAACGTTGTCTATGCCTTCACTTGCCCACTTGGGGACTGTCAACCCCAAAGATCTCAGTACATAGGCAAGACAACAACGTTTCTTTCTAGGCAATTAACAATGCATAAACAACCGGGCTCCAACAAGGAACATATAATCTCCTCTCACAACCAGACCATCACCAGAGAAATCTTAACAAGCAACATAGAAAGTTCCAACACTTTATTGGTCTGCAAGCTCAAATTATATTTGGGCAATTCCTCACATAGGAATTGTTGATGATTTGTTAGAATTCCTACGTGAGGAACTGCCCAAATATAATTTGAGCTTGCAGATCAATAAAGTGTTGGAACTTATCAAATTGTGTATAAAAGACAATTATTTTAATTTTAATAAAAAAAATTTCAAACAAACATTTGGAATGGCGATGGGCAATCCCCTTTCCCCAGTTTTGAGCAATTTGTATATGAGTTCTTTGAAACAAAATTCTTATCCAGGATTATCCCTGCTAATGTAGTTTGGTTTAGGTATGTTGATATTTTGTGCTTATGGCTGTGTGACCAAGACCAAACAGTTTTTCTTAATGACTTAATTCTTTGGTACCTTCAATAAAATTCACTTGTGAGACTGAGGAGAATGGTACTCTTCCGTTTTTGGACATTATGATTCATAGAGTCAAAAGAAAGTTCTAATTTAATGTGTATAGGAAACCTACCAACGTGGAGTCGTATGTTCATTATTATTCGAATCATCATAGTAAAGTTAAACAGGCAGTATTTTCAGGAATGTTTCTACGAGCTTTGAGAGTATGCAGCCCTGAGTTTTTTTTATAAAGAAATTGCTAAAATATATGAAATTGGGAAGAGTTTACAATACCCTAAGATGTTTTTGAATTGCTCGTTCGGACAAGCTAAGTGTACTTTTTATAATCATGTCCCCAAAGGAAAACCAGAAATTAGAAACTCATTGGTGGTACCTTATGCGAGTAGACTTGAAAAACTTTCTCCGGTTTTTAAGAAACTTAATATCATTATGATGTTCACTAATATTACGATCAAGTATAATTTTATAAATAACTCCCCTGGTACAACAGGTTGTGTGTATTCGATTCCCTGCAATGATTGTGATTCTGTGTACCTTGGACAAACAGGAAAGTCCTTACAATTGCGGTTGTCCCAACATGCTTATAGTGTTAGAACTGCCCATACGTCTAGTGCATTGTCTCTACACACGAGTTTGTGTGCTCACACTATTAAGTGGGATGGAGCAAAAAGCATTACCAATTGCGGTGGTTTCGTGGAACGGAATTTGATTGAGTCTGCCCTAATTAGTCAATGTCCAAATCTTATCAATGTTAGTACTAGTATGTACAACCTTGATTAATTTTTAAGTTACAATATTGAACAATAGTTTAAGAAAAAATTCTGTTTAAAAAATCTGTCTCATTTCAATATTATATTCATATATTGTGTGTTCAGTGAGGCTTTCTTTAATGTTTCATCCATATTCTCTGACGGGGGTTTCCGCCTGAAGGTCGGCCATCTTGGCGCGCGGATTGAACGCTCCTGGCTGGACGTTCTTTCCACACCTTACCTGGAACTCATCTTTGAATTCAGCTGGCTTCTTTGGGCCAGTGTGTGCTCACTGCAGCTACCCAGGGGTTCACAGGACCGGGGGAGGCCAGAGCCTCCCTAATGGACGCCTCCCCGAGCGGGGGCGCCATGGATGTTGACAGCAAGTCCCAGAGAGGAAAACGTCTGCTGGAAAATGAGTCGGCTGATGCTGCCCCAGAACGAGATGCTAAGAGGATGTCTTCCCCTTCAGAAGACCTTAGTCTTGTGGTACCCCGTTCCTCGTTTGTGGTAGTCCTAATCCAGTCAGAATCAGGTCAGTGCGTCTTTGCAAATCCTCGTACCTTAGGTGCAGCAATCGAGGCTTCCGTATTGTGGCCACATTGCCTGCCTGAGTCCATACGTACCCTGGGTAGGGGTGCAGCACTGAAGCTACATATCAGAAAGGAGGCTCTATCACACATCTGTGTATCCGACATTATTAAGTTGGGGGACTGGCCAGTCAGGTGCCGACAGGTATTGTCGCAGGAGGAGGAGTCTCGAGCCCGGTATGGGAAAATTGGCCCAATTGACCAGAGTGTAGATGTGGATGACATCCAGGCCGCTCTGCAGGTGTTAGGGGGTGCATTAGCGAGATTATTGGAAGTTACCAGGATTCGCGGAGCAGCAGGGCCAACATCCATGGTCCATGTAAAGTTCGATGGGCACCTCCCTGAACGAGTGGCACTACACAGGACCTCGTATCAGGTTCAGCCCTACAATTTCCCTGTGTTATGATGTTACGCTTGTCATCTATTGGGCCACAGTCGCCTGACCTGCCGTAATGCAGCACGTTGTGCAAACTGCGGCAAAACAGGCCATTCAGACAGAGATAACGGTGGGTGCTCTGCTGCACCTCGCTGTTTTTTATGCCATGACCATCATAAGGTTACGTCTAAGAGTTGCCCTGTATATCTTAAGGCCCTCCAGTTGGACATCGATCATAAAACAGCGGGGACACCTCGACATGAGCTGTTCCAGAAGTTGCGCACCCTCAATCAGCCTATCGCTTCTCGCCTCCAGGTTCCCCCTGGTCGGGTCTCTTCACAAGTAGGAACTAGCAGACGCTCTTGCCTGTCCCAGTCACATGCCTCATACGCCCAGGTTGCTAATCGATTTTCCCTCCTGGGTAGCCTTGACACTGACGGAAACTCATCCACGGATACAGACATGGACGCTCAGTCTCGGCCGGAGCCTAGCACTCGTCACCCTCCTGCCTCTCCTCAAAGAAGCCAACACCGGCGTCGTCGACACACCCATCGATCAGGAGGTACTGCTCCAACAGACAGTCCTGATGATCCTCTGGTCCCCCAGGCACTTTCCCAAGGGATTATGACACCGGGGGAACATGAGGCCCAGAGTGAGGCTCCCATCAGTCGCAGACGTCGTCAAGAGAGTTCGCGAGCCGACCACCGCTTCCGTCAGGCAGAGAGAAGCATAGATCAACATCCTCTGGACTGGAAGTCATTGATACCACACATTTTACTTACTTTGTATGAGGGTTTTATGGCTTTTTTAGTGGTTCCCCCTTTGGAGACGTCTGTGCACTGGTGGTCAAAAAGTTAGCTGTTGTATTTCAGGGATAATGGCGCCCCATCCTGAGAATACTGTGGTGTTTTGGAATGCCCACTCCCTTTTAAGAAGACGCAATTTCTACGCAATTTTGATTCCACCCCGCGTCCATGGACTCGTCATCATTCTCGACTCCTCGACACTGCCATCACTCGTCTCCGGATTGGGCACACTTGCCTGGCCGCACATCTCCATCGTCTACGGCTGGTAGATTCCCCATACTGCCAGTGGTGTCCGACCCAGGAGGATACAGTGGAGCACCTTCTTCTTCACTGCCCTCGATTTCATAGCGCTCGCGTCAGACTACAGAGTGCTGTTTGTAGGCTGAATATTCTCCGCCTCACAGTTCCCGTTCTCCTTGACGGGGCAGGTGCGAGAGACGAAGACGTTCGTCATGACATCCTTTGCCATACCTTCCGCTTCATCCGTCATGTCCGTGGCCTGAAGAGACTGTAAAATTTGTGGCCTGAGGAGATTGTAGGGTCTATGGCCTGAAGAGACTATAGGGACCCCATCCCTCCGCTATTTCCCGGTATCGGGCAGCCGGGGCGCATCCGATCCCACGATCGTCGTCGCCCCTAAATCAACACAACAACAACATATTCTCTGACCGCTTAATCCTATAATTCTAAGCTAATCTATACCTGCTTCTGGGTAATTTTTTCCTTCGGGATAGGTGGTCAGATTCCGCTGTTGGCCTGTACCCTCCCTGTGTTCCTTCTAGTCAGTCTGGTGTTGACAACGGCTTTAAACAGCCGAAACGTTCATCTTCTTTTCCCATTTCTTTGTGGATTTTCTGCATACAAATGATCGGTGTTTCGTGATCGTCAATTGCATTTATATATTATATTTCTAAAGATAGTATGTCCAAAGCAGGAGTCTGAGGAAGGGAGCCAGAAAGCAGGAGGAGCGGCCGAGACGCACCTCCCACACCCTTGAGGAGGACCTTGCTATTGAGGAGCTGGTGAGGACGTCCGTGGTGCCTCGCATCCCAACACCACACCACACTCCCCAGCACCAGCACTCACCACTACACCACACTCCCCAGCACCACCACTCACCACTACACCACACTCCCCAGCACCACCACTCACCACCACCACCACCCACTGACACGCCTGGCCTGGCAGAAGTCACCGAGGATGACTACAGTGTTGAAGAGCAGGAGACGGAGGGAGGGTACCCGCTGGATGAGAGAGACAGCGGGTACTCCATGGAGGTGGAGGGCGGGTACCCAGCAGAGGACAGAGACAGTCAACACACACTGGAGGCTGGCGACGCCCCTCATCAGGGCAAGGCGCTTCACAAGAAGAGATCACATATTACTTCAAGGGAAATAAAAAGTGGTATAAAAGGTATGTTATAATGTTGCATAGCTGTTGTTTCTGGAGAATAATTAATACCATTTTTAAGTTGCTGTTACAACGTGGGAGCCTGTTAGGGTATAAACAAGGTACTGGAGTACCACCTAAAGGGGGTCCCGGCCCCAAGGTAAGCAGTACCCAAAAATATATATAAATATGATCTACAGTCTAGAGCAGATCTCCTAACCCTATTCAAGAGGGGTGATGAAAGTTCCCGGTAAATATTTTACCTAATTTATTTTAACCCTAAACACCCCCAAAGTACAACAATACTTTACCACACCTACCTCACGTTACCTCTCTGACTCCACGAAGGCAAGAGACAAGATTCACATACAGCAAACTATTGCTAAAGTCTACGATCCCTTAAGGGATAAATTGATTATAGTATACTTGAGTATAGTTACATGAATCTTCAGGTTATAACCAGAGTACACAGACAAGGTTACACTTAGAACACAATGTTGGCACGGCTCAATATCCTCCAGTTCGTCGACTTAGTTCCCTCTTCTCTTCATCTCCTAAACTATAGTCATTTCATAAATCTGTCATAAATCGAACTGTTAAAAAAGTGCATGCTTGATTGATTACATAAATGATGACATTTAGAGTGTAAGTGAGAGTGTAATATAATGCAGGAGTACCATAACACAGACATGTTGAGGCAGCGTATATAAGAGACGGTGTTACAGAGCTGTGGGCGACTGTGGCACGACTGATGAAGAACAAGGTGGTCGTCTATACCCTCTGTAGCGACTTCTTCCTCGTCTTGGGCACCTCCGTTGTCAGCGTCTGGCTTCCCAAGTACATCCAACAACAGTTCCGTGTCACCAAGACCAACTCCTCCTTCTACACAGGTCAGTGGCGCACCTGTGTACCTCTTACATCCAACATAGTTTGCTCAAAAGTATGTATGCTCAGGGGACTCGAACACTGGCCATCAAGGTGGCAGTTAAGCACTGTATCCACTACACCATACTTCAGAGCCCTAAAAGAGGTAGGAATTCTGGGGTATTTAACCAACCAGAACTCCAATCCTCTCCAAACAATGAGATAGTGAGGGATTTCTCGCGTTTTTCATCAAGCCCTGTTATATGGGAGAACTCAATGCCAATGCTTAATGCTTGAAGTATGGTGTAGTGGATACAGTGCGTAACTGCCACCTTGATGGCCAGTGTTCGAGTCCCCTGGTGGGTTGAGTGTCTAAAAGTTATATACTTCAAACTTGTGGTTTATAAGCAAGTCTGTGCATTAAGCACATTAAGCATTTGCAGTTAAGGGATAAGCGGTTAAGGGATCCTGTTCGCCAGCAGAGTGCTCCTGGCAGTATGGGTTTGAGTCACTTCTGGGGTGTGAGTTTTCAGTTGCATATAGTCCTGGGGACCATTCAGACTTGTTCGCATTTGTGTTCCTCACGTGTGCACCAAAGAATGAGGTGATTTGATAAAATACCATGCCCAAGAGTACCAACCGAGTGCCGGCTGGGGAATGGAAATAGCCTTGGCTACCATCCTCTTTTGTCCGGTCGTGTTGGTCGAGCGGTTAAGGGATCCTGTACACCAGCAGAGAGCTCCTGGCAATATGGGTTCGAGTCACTTCTGGGGTGTGAGTTTTCAGTTATATATACTGTATATATATATATATATATATATATATATATATATATATATATATATATATATATATATATATATATATATATATATATATATATATATATATATATATATATATATATATATATATATATATATATATATATATATATATATATATATATATATATAACTGAAAACTCACACCCCAGAAATACCATTCAGTTGCATATTGTCCAGGGGACCATTCTGGCTTGTTCGCATATATATATATATATATATATATATATATATATATATATATATATATATATATATATATATATATATATATATATATATATATATATATATATATATATATATATATATATATATATATATATATATATATATATATATATATATATATATATATATATATACATAAAGTTTGTGAGGGTACCACCTCTGGTGCCAATGTGGGGACCCATAGCCTCGGAGAAGAAAATAAAAAGTATTCAGAGGAGACCTTGTGGTTTCTCACTGAACACTAATATTATCTTCTCCTACCACCCCCATTCTTTTGTATGTACACATATATATTTACTTTATTTGAACTTTGTTACAAAAAAGGAGTTACATATGGGTTACAAAGATGGTTATCATAGGTTGTCGAGTTCCTCCAGCTCCTCAGATGGCGGGCAGGAACCCTGGATGCAGTGCGCATTTCCCCTCTGTATCGCCACACTGAGGCGCTGGAAAAGAAAGCTTGCAGCTCTTGGGTCCCTTGTTGTTTCAATGAGCCTAGAACCCAGTTCCTTCAAAAAACTGGTAGCACTTTTACCCCAGGCGCCGAGTGTCTCAGAAGCAATGGGGACAAAATTGTAGTGGTGATCCAGTTCTCTATACTTACGGGATTTGGCTGCTTCCCTGTGGGTGGCAGCGCCACCTGGTTGTGCAACACTGAGGTTAATGTAGGTGTTAGCCAGGGTTGATACGCACGTGTAGTCCCATACCAACTGCTTGCCATTCTTCCAGGGGTTCACTGTGATACCATCCGGGCGACCAATAAGAGCATCAGAGTTACGGGGCGTTAGGTAACGGGGCTCTCTTTCAGCTGGGCATCCAGCTGTGGTGAGGCTCCTCTTGATGATGTCGTTAACTTCACTGTGCCTCGAGTGCCATCCCCCTGTGCTTTGGCAGAGTAGGCCATGGTGGCCGTACCTGTCAGCCACCACCTCGCCGCAAATACACCTATATCTGGTGTGGATTGGGGCAGCAAGGCGGAGGGCCACAGCAATTCGGAGGGCGTGTGGTGTGAGACGCGTGCCAGTTGCCGACATTGGGGTTGCTAACAGGAAATCCCCTGCATGTGGTGCTGCTACTGCTGTGAGGCGAGCAATGTCGTGTTGTGTTGTTGCAGCACCCAGGCACTCTGCAGCAACTTGGTCTACAATGGGGCCATCCCAGCTGGATTGCTTGTGGGCTTTTGGGGATGGTGGTTGAGGTGATTGGCCTGCACGAGAGGCCCACTCTGTGGCACAGCGTGTAAAATTGGGATCATGTACACCTGCCAGCTGATGTAAGTGGGCAGGTAGAATTTCCTTCACAAGGTCGTCGGATGCTGATAAGGAGGACAGGAAGGCTGGAACAGCGATTTGCGTTGCTGTTCGAACTCCGAGGCCCCCAAGTCTTACGGGAAGAGAGGCTTGTTTCCACTGTAGGTCATCGAGAGAGAGGTTAAGGGCTTTTTCTAGCATTGATTTCAGTAACCGGTCATACTCACTTAGTTTTTGGCTACTGTAGGGATGGTGAACACCTCAGAAAGTAGGTTAACCTGGGGAGGGACAGACATCTGGTGATGAGGTAGAGTGCATCATGAGCATCAATATCCTCAATCCTCCCATCCATCCTCTTAAAGTCGGCGATTTTCTTATCAAGGACCTCATCGATGGCTTTCAACCCCAGGGCAGCTCCTAGGAGTGTGCTGTCTTCAGGTTTAGTTTTATGGATATTTGGCAGAAGACCCTCTATTCTCTCTACGATGCCCTGGTTGGAACATATTATTTCACATTTAGAAGGGTTCAGGGTGAGGCCTAAAACTGCACCTTGCTCCTGGATTTTTCTGATGTCCTCCAGGAGGGAGTCTTGGGAACCAGCTAGGGTACCATCATCCAAGAACTAGATGTTAAGCTCGCTGGACAGGACCTCTGTGACTTGTTTGATGACTAAGCAGAAAAGGAGAGGAGCAAGGGGGTCACCCTGTTGGACGCCTTCTCGCGAGTCAATTTCATGTTCGCCAAAAAGTAGCTTAAGATCCATACTGTAGCATGAATGTACAAAAGGGTAGAGGGAAGGGAAATGACTATGAACCGCATGGAGTACAGCATCCCTCCGCACCAAATTGAAGGCATTTTTGAAATCTAGCTTGATAAGGGCCTCATATATATATATATATATATATATATATATATATATATATATATATATATATATATATATATATATATATATATATATATATATATATATATTATTAAATATGACCGAAAAAGTAAGATTAATAATTCTAACACGAATTTTCTCAATCTTTCGTACATTACGCTTCACTGTTGGAGGTAAATCAAAAATCAATTCTCCAAAATTCATTTTTATTTCTAGTCTGACGCGACACGAGCGCGTTTCGTAAAACTTATTACATTTTCAAAGACTTTAGTTCACAAATACACAACTGAATAGAACTTACGCATCTCCGATTTTATATCTACATTTGAGTGAGGTGGAAGGGGTGATGTGGCATTAACACAAGACAGAACAAAATGTGGTATTAATAGGGTATTAATTTCATCAACACAAGACAGAACAAGAGTATTAATAGGGTATTAATTTCATCAACACAAGACAGAACACGAAACAATGGATATTGAATAGAAGTGTTTGTAGAAAGCCTATTGGTCCATATTTCTTGATGCTTCTATATTGGAGCGGAGTCTTGAGGTGGGTAGAATATAGTTGTGCAATAATTGGCTGTTGATTGCTGGTGTTGACTTCTTGATGTGTAGTGCCTCGCAAACGTCAAGCCGCCTGCTATCGCTGTATCTATCGATGATTTCTGTGTTGTTTACTAGGATTTCTCTGGCGATGGTTTGGTTGTGGGAAGAGATTATATGTTCCTTAATGGAGCCCTGTTGCTTATGCATCGTTAAACGCCTAGAAAGAGATGTTGTTGTCTTGCCTATATACTGGGTTTTTTGGAGCTTACAGTCCCCAAGTGGGCATTTGAAGGCATAGACGACGTTAGTCTCTTTTAAAGCGTTCTGTTTTGTGTCTGGAGAGTTTCTCATGAGTAGGCTGGCCGTTTTTCTGGTTTTATAGTAAATCGTCAGTTGTATCCTCTGATTTTTGTCTGTAGGGATAACGTTTCTATTAACAATATCTTTCAGGACCCTTTCCTCCGTTTTATGAGCTGTGGAAAAGAAGTTCCTGTAAAATAGTCTAATAGGGGGTATAGGTGTTGTGTTAGTTGTCTCTTCAGAGGTTGCATGGCTTTTCACTTTCCTTCTTATGATGTCTTCGACGAAACCATTGGAGAAGCCGTTATTGACTAGGACCTGCCTTACCCTACAGAGTTCTTCGTCGACTTGCTTCCATTCTGAGCTGTGGCTGAGAGCACGGTCGACATATGCGTTAACAACACTCCTCTTGTACCTGTCTGGGCAGTCGCTGTTGGCATTTAGGCACATTCCTATGTTTGTTTCCTTAGTGTAGACTGCAGTGTGGAAACCTCCGCCCTTTTCCATGACTGTTACATCTAGAAAGGGCAGCTTCCCATCCTTTTCCATCTCGTAAGTGAAACGCAGCACGGAACTCTGCTCAAATGCCTCCTTCAGCTCCTGCAGATGTCTGACATCAGGTACCTGTGTAAAAATGTCGTCAACATACCTGCAGTATATGGCCGGTTTCAAGTTCATGTCGACTAAGACTTTTTGCTCGATGGTACCCATGTAGAAGTTTGCAAACAGGACACCTAGGGGAGAACCCATGGCGACCCCATCTACTTGCTTATACATGTGCCCATCCGGGCTCAAGAAGGGTGCCTCTTTAGTACAAGCTTGGAGTAGTTTCCTCAGAATATTTTCTGGTATGTCAAGAGGAGTACAGGCTGGATCACGATACACTCTGTCGGCTATCATTCCGATTGTCTCGTCCACAGGTACGTTGGTAAACAGCGATTCTACGTCCAACGAGGCTCTTATCCCTGTGGCCCGTGTGCCCCGCAGTAAGTCAACAAATTCCTTTGGAGACTTCAGGCTGAAGGCGCAAGGAACATAAGGAGTCAGCAGGCCGTTGAGTCGCTTCGCCAGTCTGTACGTGGGTGTGGGTATCTGGCTAATGATTGGCCGAAGTGGGTTTCCAGGCTTGTGCGTCTTGACATTTCCATACACATATCCAGGTTTATATTCCCCAATGATCTTTGGCAGGTGGAGTCCGGATTTGTGAACGCCAAGAAATTTCTTGGCGTTCACAAATCCGGACTCCACCTGCCAAAGATCATTGGGGAATATAAACCTGGATATGTGTATGGAAATGTCAAGACGCACAAGCCTGGAAACCCACTTCGGCCAATCATTAGCCAGATACCCACACCCACGTACAGACTGGCGAAGCGACTCAACGGCCTGCTGACTCCTTATGTTCCTTGCGCCTTCAGCCTGAAGTCTCCAAAGGAATTTGTTGACTTACTGCGGGGCACACGGGCCACAGGGATAAGAGCCTCGTTGGACGTAGAATCGCTGTTTACCAACGTACCTGTGGACGAGACAATCGGAATGATAGCCGACAGAGTGTATCGTGATCCAGCCTGTACTCCTCTTGACATACCAGAAAATATTCTGAGGAAACTACTCCAAGCTTGTACTAAAGAGGCACCCTTCTTGAGCCCGGATGGGCACATGTATAAGCAAGTAGATGGGGTCGCCATGGGTTCTCCCCTAGGTGTCCTGTTTGCAAACTTCTACATGGGTACCATCGAGCAAAAAGTCTTAGTCGACATGAACTTGAAACCGGCCATATACTGCAGGTATGTTGACGACATTTTTACACAGGTACCTGATGTCAGACATCTGCAGGAGCTGAAGGAGGCATTTGAGCAGAGTTCCGTGCTGCGTTTCACTTACGAGATGGAAAAGGATGGGAAGCTGCCCTTTCTAGATGTAACAGTCATGGAAAAGGGCGGAGGTTTCCACACTGCAGTCTACACTAAGGAAACAAACATAGGAATGTGCCTAAATGCCAACAGCGACTGCCCAGACAGGTACAAGAGGAGTGTTGTTAACGCATATGTCGACCGTGCTCTCAGCCACAGCTCAGAATGGAAGCAAGTCGACGAAGAACTCTGTAGGGTAAGGCAGGTCCTAGTCAATAACGGCTTCTCCAATGGTTTCGTCGAAGACATCATAAGAAGGAAAGTGAAAAGCCATGCAACCTCTGAAGAGACAACTAACACAACACCTATACCCCCTATTAGACTATTTTACAGGAACTTCTTTTCCACAGCTCATAAAACGGAGGAAAGGGTCCTGAAAGATATTGTTAATAGAAACGTTATCCCTACAGACAAAAATCAGAGGATACAACTGACGATTTACTATAAAACCAGAAAAACGGCCAGCCTACTCATGAGAAACTCTCCAGACACAAAACAGAACGCTTTAAAAGAGACTAACGTCGTCTATGCCTTCAAATGCCCACTTGGGGACTGTAAGCTCCAAAAAACCCAGTATATAGGCAAGACAACAACATCTCTTTCTAGGCGTTTAACGATGCATAAGCAACAGGGCTCCATTAAGGAACATATAATCTCTTCCCACAACCAAACCATCGCCAGAGAAATCCTAGTAAACAACACAGAAATCATCGATAGATACAGCGATAGCAGGCGGCTTGACGTTTGCGAGGCACTACACATCAAGAAGTCAACACCAGCAATCAACAGCCAATTATTGCACAACTATATTCTACCCACCTCAAGACTCCGCTCCAATATAGAAGCATCAAGAAATATGGACCAATAGGCTTTCTACAAACACTTCTATTCAATATCCATTGTTTCGTGTTCTGTCTTGTGTTGATGAAATTAATACCCTATTAATACTCTTGTTCTGTCTTGTGTTGATGAAATTAATACCCTATTAATACCACATTTTGTTCTGTCTTGTGTTAATGCCACATCACCCCTTCCACCTCACTCAAATGTAGATATAAAATCGGAGATGCGTAAGTTCTATTCAGTTGTGTATTTGTGAACTAAAGTCTTTGAAAATGTAATAAGTTTTACGAAACGCGCTCGTGTCGCGTCAGACTAGAAATAAAAATGAATTTTGGAGAATTGATTTTTGATTTACCTCCAACAGTGAAGCGTAATGTACGAAAGATTGAGAAAATTCGTGTTAGAATTATTAATCTTACTTTTTCGGTCATATTTAATAATATATGTCTACAGGAAAGACTGCTACCAAAATATACTATATATATATATATATATATATATATATATATATATATATATATATATATATATATATATATATATATATATATATATATATATATATATATATATACTCCTCAAGTGCATATATGAATATCATTAAACGCTGTATATCTACCAACCAGTTTAAAAGGGAGACTAAGAAATATAAAAAAAAAAAAATGATTGCAGTGCTTAATTCATCCAGAATCATTCCAGATTCCGGGCAACAAAAATCATCCCAGAGCTAAGTCATCTCTCGCATCAGGAACTGTCTAGGGCCACAGAACTAACAACACTGCAAACCTGGCATGACAGGGCGGATCTCATTGAAACTTTCAAAATACTGAACAATTTGGAGGATGTTGATCCGGATATTTTCTTCACAAGGTCAGATGTAACACAAACAAGGAGCAACGGGTTCAAGCTCAATACGTCACAATGTAGGACTGAGAACAGCTAGGAGATGTTTTTTCACCCACAGGGTTATTAACTCGTGGAATCGTATACTCGCCAAAGCCGTAAAGGCCTAAACTCTGTTAACTTTTAAAGTAAAAGTGCAAAAGATCATCAAGGTAAATGGGGAACCTTCGACAAGCCGCTGGCTTCCTGTCCTCGTCGAGGCCACTAGTCTTAGTGGCTCTCGGGTAAACTCCATTATCGGTGAAAAATTACAGTAAGCTGCCGCCTAATAAGGACAGCCTGGGTAACTTTAGAAAATAAGATAACTCAAGGAAGATATCAGTTACAAATATGCCAAAAATATACAATAAATGAAAACTAGTTCGATTTCAATCAAACTTTTTTGACGAGTTGTATATGAAAATTGTTTCATCTGGTCCAAGTCTCGGCATCGTAGCATAAATAAGAAGGGAGAAAATAATATTGAATTATGTGTCAAAAATTTTCCAAAATGGTCAAAAATTAACATCAAACAAAAGTGTCAACTGAAATCATGTCTATGACTCTCAGCTATCATAATAGCATATGTTAACAAAAATTAATAATTAGTTTCATAAAAAAAATATAGTTAAAAAAAATTGATTTGTTTTCAATTTTACTTTTCTTATTTGTTTATCGCATGATTTGCATGAAACTTATACACGTGACTGCACGTGAGCCTATCTGTAAGGGTGCCAATTTTAGAGGAAATTGGTTGATGTCAACCTCAGCCACAGATGGCAGCACATTAGACTTTAATTGTTAATGATTTATTTTTCAAGTAACATAAACTGAGTCCCTACATTTCATTTTTCTTCAATTTACATAAAACTTAATCTTATATGTAAAGTTTATGTCTCTAAAATCTTATGCCAGCGTTTTATCCTAAGTTCATTTATTATTTTTACAATAGCAATAATTTTTTAGGGAAATTTGACTATTTGTATTAGTAGAACTAAACATATTTTGGAAAATCCGCAGCTACAGATCTTTTATTATATGCTAATGTGCTAGAAAATTTTCATAGAATGATTATATTTGAAACTTATGGTTGTAGGAACTTACTGAAAATGTGTAATATTCGTTGAAAAAAAATTAAATCTCCCTTTCTATTTAGGCTGCAGTACTGAAACTTGGGACAATTGCAGCCTTTTTCTATACAACTAGTCAAAAAAAGATTTGTTAATATTAAAAAAGTTTAAAAAACTAAATCATGGTTCCTTAATTAAGTTCATATTTGTTAGCAAAGACACTTTGCATCAGAGTTACTAAGGTAATTATTAGTCAACAAGTAAGGTTAATTCAGCATTATCAGCGCTGAATTAACTTTACTGGTGGATATTGCAGCCAACTGGGAAGTGTATTGATATATGAGTGTGTACACCTCAGGTGTCTGCGGGACGTGGTCGGCCATGGTGGGCGTAGGGGTGGGCGGTGTTTGGGTGAGACGGTGCCGCCCACGGGCCAGGACGGTGGCGCTGGTCATGGCCGCCTGTCTGGCCACCCACACCGCCGCCCTCCTCTCCCTCATGTTTATATCCTGCCATGTTGACGCTGACCTCCCCGGCATCATGGCCCCTGACTTCAGGTATGTCCAACACTTCAGGTATGTCCAACACTTCAGGTATGTCCAACACTTCAGGTATGTCCAACACTTCAGGTATGTCCAACACTTCTGGTATGTCCAACACTTCAGGTATGTCCAACACTTCAGGTATGTCCAACACTTCAGGTATGTCCAACACTTCAGGTATGTCCAACACTTCAGGTATGTCCAACACTTCTGGTATGTCCAACACTTCAGGTATGTCCAACACTTCAGGTATGTCCAACACTTCAGACATGGTATGTCCAACACTTCAGGTATGTCCAACACTTCAGGTATGTCCAACACTTCAGGTATGTCCAACACTTCAGGTATGTCCAACACTTCAGGTATGTCCAACACTTCAGGTATGTCCAACACTTCAGGTATGTCCAACACTTCAGGTATGTCCAACACTTCAGGTATGTCCAACACTTCAGGTATGTCCAACACTTCAGGTATGTCCAACACTTCAGGTATGTCCAACACTTCAGGTATGTCCAACACTTCAGGTATGTCCAACACTTCAGGTATGTCCAACACTTCAGACATGTCCAACACTTCAGGTATGTCCAACACTTCAGACATGTCCAACACTTCAGGTATGTCCAACACTTCAGACATGTCCAACACTTCAGACATGTCCAACACTTCAGGTATGTCCAACACTTCAGGTATGTCCAACACTTCAGGTATGTCCAACACTTCAGGTATGTCCAACACTTCAGGTATGTCCAACACTTCAGGTATGTCCAACACTTCAGACATGTCCAACACTTCAGGTATGTCCAACACTTCAGACATGTCCAACACTTCAGGTATGTCCAACACTTCAGACATGTCCAACACTTCAGGTATGTCCAACACTTCAGACATGTCCAACACTTCAGACATGTCCAACACTTCAGGTATGTCCAACACTTCAGACATGTCCAACACTTCAGACATGTCCAACACTTCAGACATGTCCAACACTTCAGACATGTCCAACACTTCAGACATGTCCAACACTTCAGGTATGTCCAACACTTCAGGTATGTCCAACACTTCAGACATGTCCAACACTTCAGACATGTCCAACACTTCAGACATGTCCAACACTTCAGACATGTCCAACACTTCAGGTATGTCCAACACTTCAGACATGTCCAACACTTCAGACATGTCCAACACTTCAGACATGTCCAACACTTCAGACATGTCCAACACTTCAGACATGTCCAACACTTCAGGTATGTCCAACACTTCAGACATGTCCAACACTTCAGGTATGTCCAACACTTCAGACATGTCCAACACTTCATGTCCAACACTTCAGACATGTCCAACACTTCAGACATGTCCAACACTTCAGACATGTCCAACACTTCAGGTATGTCCAACACTTCAGGTATGTCCAACACTTCAGGTATGTCCAACACTTCAGACATGTCCAACACTTCAGACATGTTCAACACTTCAGGCATGTCCAACACTTCAGACATGTCCAACACTTCAGACATGTCCAACACTTCAGACATGTCCAACACTTCAGACATGTCCAACACTTCAGACATGTCCAACACTTCAGACATGTCCAACACTTCAGGTATGTCCAACACTTCAGACATGTCCAACACTTCAGACATGTCCAACACTTCAGACATGTCCAACACTTCAGGTATGTCCAACACTTCAGGTATGTCCAACACTTCAGACATGTCCAACACTTCAGACATGTCCAACACTTCAGGTATGTCCAACACTTCAGGTATGTCCAACACTTCAGACATGTCCAACACTTCAGACATGTCCAACACTTCAGATATGTCCAACACTTCAGGCATGTCCAACACTTCAGGCATGTCCAACACTTCAGATATGTCCAACACTTCAGACATGTCCAACACTTCAGGTATGTCCAACACTTCAGACATGTCCAACACTTCAGGCATGTCCAACACTTCAGACATGTCCAACACTTCAGACATGTCCAACACTTCAGGCATGTCCAACACTTCAGACATGTCCAACACTTCAGGCATGTCCAACACTTCAGACATGTCCAACACTTCAGACATGTCCAACACTTCAGACATGTCCAACACTTCAGACATGTCCAACACTTCAGACATGGCCCACAACTTATGGTCCCTATTTTCAAACATTACTGATTATTGACCAACTTGTTTAACTGCTGATATCTCTCATGTATAAACTAAAAGAAAATTGTAATCTTATGTTTATTTAGTTAAAATTCCTTCTGATGTTCTGTAACATTTTCTGCTGTTCCATCCATCATGTAATTATTATGTCTCCATTTCTTTTTTTTTCCTCTTTACAATTCAATTTATGCTTTTGATCTCAAGTAGTATTTAGTTTTTAGTCAGTTTTTCCCACACCTTTCCCGAAACGCTGTGCGTATTATAGTGACTTCAGGCATTGTATGTACTAACTCTATATATTAATCCGACATTATATTTGTAACTCATTTTTAATGTATATATATCTTTACCTGAATAAACGTCTTATCAAATACAGGCAGCCTTATAACTTTAGGGATGGCTTTTAACAAGTAACAGTCCTCGTGGCACAGTGGTAAAGCACTCGCCTGCGCTTTGGCCTGGGTTCGTTTCCTGGCTGTAACGGCCAGACATGTTTGGCCTCTCCATGCTTTTCCTCCTCCCACTTCACTCCTTCATCTCACTCTTTGCTTTCGGGGGGATTACTCGCCTTTTCTCCAGCTCCAACTTGTGATGCCATGTTATCCTTGGCCACCATTCATGACGTCAAATTCTCTGCATGTAAGATGTGTGCTATGACTTTTTCTCAGAGACAGGTCATTCTTCGTCACCCATTGTTGCTCTGTGGTAATCCCATTCAGCACAAAGATTATGCTAAACTTTTGGGGTTGATCTTTAATGCTGGTTTGTCTTATAGTCGCAACACATCTTTCACATCAGAGTTGAATCACGGAGACAAGCAGTCTCCGCGGTGTAGTGGTAAGACACTCGCCTGGCGTTCCGCGAGCGCTATGTCATGGGTTCGTATCCTGGCCGGGGAGGATTTACTGGGCGCAATTCCTTAACTGTAGCCTCTGTTTAACGCAACAGTAAAATGTGTACTTGGATGAAAAAACGATTCTTCGCGGCAGGGGATCGTATATATTCCAGGGACCATAGGATTAAGGACTTGCCCGAAACGCTACGCGTACTAGTGGCTGTACAAGAATGTAACAACTCTTGTATATATCTCAAAAAAAAAAAAAAAGAATGCTCTGAGGCCTTTACTTTACTCAAACTCTTGTCCTATACTTTCTAGGGAGCTGATAGATGCACACTCTTCTCTTGTGCTGTCTAAACTCCATTATCACTGTCGCTTACTCCTTTACACCTTCGACCTCTTGCTTGATGGTCGGCACCACACTAGGTTATGCCTCTTCTCTGGTGCCTGTCGTTCGTCCCCCATGTTGTACGTTGAAACTGGAGTGCTGTCACTACAGGATCGTTGTGATTGTTACTGCTTTCGCTACCTTGCAAGATCTCTGCAACATTATCTTTCTCACTTTTCACAGGCTTTACTTGTTGCCCCTCCAGTAGGCTCTGTTTCCTTTCAACACCACCTTTTTTTATAAGGATGTCTCATTTACAAGTCTCCCTCTTGGTTTGTGTTCACAATGTCTCATGTCGTTCCATCCATCCATGTCGTTCCATCCATGTCCCACATGGGAAGTTTTGCAAGATTGAACTACATGGTAAAGACTTCTACCCATCCAATTGTTTCGAAATACCTTGTCTTTTTTATATTTTTCTTCACACTACAATTCTGTTGTCCTATTCACAAATGGATCCAATTCTGCTGACAGTGTTGGTTGCTCTGTAGTCTCTCCGGACCAAATCTCCGAGGCTAGCCTCTTCACAACTGAACTGTGACGATCTTGTATGCTCTTCGAAAACTGTTTTTCTGTCATGAACGCTCCTTTATCATTGTGGAGCGTTCCACAGGATTTTGACCATCCTGTGATGGTCAAAATTCAGTATTGGCTGTTTCTTATCTAGCAGAATTAAGCTTTGCTGGGTTTTCATTCATATTGGTGTCTCGCCTTAAATTAGCAAGTTAAATTTAATTCAAGTAAGTAATTATCTAAAGGTGCCAAGCTAGTGGAAATTTAATTTAAACTGAATTTAATTAAATTAAATTAGGTCATATTGCCCTAAATGAATGTGCGGTTACTGCCGCTGAGGAGGCTATCCGCGCTTGTTCCGTTTCCAGAAAAGGCATCCCCTTATTCAGATTCCTACCCAGTCATTCACTCGTCAATCTGAGACCGTTGGCAGGGTCGTTTGTCTTATGTTAAAGGCAACAAACTGCTCACTCCTGAGGGTGGTTTGTCATCTTGGCCTTTATCCTATAACTGTAACCGGCGGTGGGAAACGGCTCTGGCTTGTTATGTATTGGCCATACATGTTTAACTCACAGGCATGTAATGGAACGCTGGCCTGGCCCTTGTTGTCCACATTGCATTGTCCGTCTTACGGTCATGCACCTGCCCAGATTTACAGGACATTCTTGTATCTTTCCAACTGTTCCTAGTGGTCATTTGTCCCTCGATAGAATCTTTAGTGAATCCAATAACTTTGATATTTCTCGCGTTATGTACTTTTATTATCGTATTTGCATGTGAAGTGATTTTTAAGGCCTTTTGAATATACAGCAACACTTGCGGATCTGCATAATCCCCCTTGGCTTCGTGCCTTCTTTTCATAATTATTTCTGAGTAATCACATACATAGTTATTATAGTACTGTACATGTTGATATATTAAATAATTTAACCTTATTTTAGACAATTTTTTCTACTGTTTCTATCCAAAAACGTATTTTGTTATATCCGTAACGGAACGGCTTCACTGTAGACGACTTGTGAAGTCCCATTCAACTCGGGTGAAGTATGTACTTAGACATGTCTTCAGTGAAAACAGACAACTGTTAATTTAGGATAAATCTGTATTTCTAGTTAAGTCA